CACCCGTACAACGCCGTGCTCCAAACATACACCTTTAACAACCTTTTTCGAATTTCTAATTTAACCGTTCGCGAGCATAGAAGTGACTTCTTTTTATTAAAGGCGACACGACCCTGCGCTATCCTCTGCTTTATATCCCTACTACTCCTTCCATCCTCACTTATCTGACTTCCTAGGTATCTAAAATCAGCCACTTCTTCTAATTTTTCATCTCCTATCTTTGTCTTGCTACGTGGTACAAATTATTATTAATAATTGGTACAAATACCAAAAAATTGAAATATCTAACATTACTATGCGGCAGACCTGATTCTATCCAATACCGAAGAAAACATTTTGCCGCCCCCATATTTGCACCGCCTGGAGACCATAACCCCCTTTGTCCCCATCCCTTCGCTACTTCACTGTTGAAGCTTTTCATAAGTCGATTTGTTACTGCCACCGTTTTACCGGTAAAAAGCAGTCCATTTCCTTCGAATAAAATTCTCATTTTTCTTAAAGATTTTATTTTATTTTTTTGTTAAATCCGAGCTGCAAAGATTAACATTAATTTTCATTAGTGATCGGAGCGTCCGGACGAGCTATAACAATGCCATTAAGAGTGCTCAACGGGAACAAATTGCCACGTCGAAGTCTCTCTCAACTCTTCAACTTCTTCTTCTTCTTCTTGTTCTTTTCTTATTCTTATTCTTTTTTTAGTTGGCTTCGGATGTAATTTGTACCGGTAGGTGTTCACACTCATAGCGCAGCTCGTTCCGAATAAATCAAGTCGAATTCTGACTTTCACGGCTGCCTTCTTTATTTATGATCAATTTCTCTGAAATTTAGCATGAGTGCCTGTGCTTGCGCTCGGGTCGTGTAGGGACTCTCCCAGCGGGCACGTACTCCTCCACCACCACCAACTCGCCCTTTGTTCTAATTAAAATTAGCGCCCAACGTTTTCCAACTAATCAAAATATTTACTTGGCTGCAATTTATTTTCTCAAGGGGCCAAAGGAACTACTTTACCGTGAAAGAGGAACTTTAATTTACCCGAAACTTTAAAGAATTTCATGATCTCCTCCCTTACTGAAATAAATTTACTGGTTCTTAAAAAGGCAATTTTGAAAAAACTGAGGAGGAAATGTCAGAATGTATGGACTTTCTTGTGTAATCCAACGGCAATTTACTTAAAGAATGTGCATTTTCGATGTTGGTTTCAAAAATTTTACTGTACCTTTTTGTATTTACATATCTAGCAAATACTTATCTTTTTTAAACTAATTCAAAAAGGATAAAATAATTCGAAGTGGTCTGTATTCCGTCGAAGCTGCCAGACTCGGATCTATATATTTAAATGGACCTTGTTGGAGCATACGTAATCTTAAAATGTAGCATCGTACTACAGATGGCGTTTACCGCGCCATCTGTGGTATTTTCTAAAACGCACTGTTAAGACAGCAGGTAAAAGTTGGCCTGTGTTCTGTCGGAGCT